AGCACGTCATTCAAGAACCAAGAGCACATACAGCAAGCCTCCTGGTGGGACCGTAAAAATACGGTCTGTAATTAAAATATGTATCCAGATTTATAAGCCGCTGAAGAGACCAGCGTCGTCAATATCAACACGGACTGCAGTGTGATATCTTGCTTGTCTAGTGTGTCTGCAGCAAATAAATAATTCACCTTCTTATAAGAAGATAAATGCATCACATTCCCTCCGACGAGATCTAGGATTACACGAGGTTCCTTGGTATTTTCAATTACTAATCACTGAAAAATCAGTACATAATGTGAAATCACTTGTACAATATTAAGTGAATTATCAAGTTCTATCCAGGCTACTCGGATTTCCACTAATATGTTTCGTGGTGTTAATGTGCTTAGCGGATTAGACTGTGTTGTAAATATCCCGATTTCTTGCGTATGTACATATGATAAATTAACGTAAACATAGATTTAGTAAATAGTAGCCTACGGTAGTCATGAGTCATCGTTAATGAGATAAGCGTCCTTTGTGATAGCACTATCTGAAGTAGTGTGTGTGTGTACATATACATATATATATAAATGTACACACACACACACACACACACACACACACACACACACACACACACAACACACATATATTCATATATATATTATATATATATATATATATATATATATATATATATATTATATATATATATTATATATATAATATATATATATATATGTTATATACATATATATGGGTGTGTGTGTATATATATATATATATATATATATATATATATATATATATATATATTATATTATATATATATATATATATATATATATATATATATATATATATATATATATATATATATATATACCTATGTGTGTGCATATATACACATATATGTATATATGTGTATGTGTGCGACATGGCAGGAAGAACAGGCAGAGTGCAGACAATCGCGTCTGGCAGGGAGAGGCAATCTTAGCAGCGAAGAATCAGCTAACGTCTCGAATAACGTACAGCAAGTTCATATAGCTCTTGTAATATATATCTTTATCATACAAACCATCATATAAATATTGGCAATTATTAACAATGCGAAAATACACTGGCAAACCCAATGTATTAGTAATTGAAGAGTATTTAAGTTATTGTCTCGGAAATAGCAAGTTAGGCCCCATTAAGTCTTTAAAATACGACGAACCTGTTTTTTGCAACGAGCGGAGTGAAAAAAGTTCGAGTACTAATTGTGATAAATTACGTGACTCATAGACGCGAGGACATGCTTTGTATTAGAACAAACTAGATGGGGTTTACTGAACAGACTCAGAAGCTTTTGCAAAGACCTTTGCGATGATTTCTCACGAGAACGTGTGTACCAATTGTGATTAATCGCATAACGCGAGGTCATTTTGGGGGGAGATTTATATAGCAGACTCATAAAAATGTAATGATTTCGCATAGGAGTACTCCAAGGTACATGAAAAAAGAGGAATCACTTACAGGATTTTACAAGTATACCTTAAAATAATACACGCCGGAAATTCATATTATAGACATGCGCGTACTTTTGACAGTTTTTTTTTTAATATCCAGATGTGATTTACTTCGATAAAAGACAAGACAATGAAACATATCAGAGGGTACATTAGAGTGTACTCTTTGTATATAAACAATTTGTTACATTGTTTCACAGCGTCTTATTAAAAAAAATGAAATATGAATCAGCGACTAACGTGTGTGAGTTCTAAGCGAAGTAATTACATACGTTTGCGCATGTCTAGCGTTACATGTTCTGTGGAACCAAATAAAACCGACTGTTAATTATCATTAATAAGACACTATTGCAAATGCATTGATAATATTTTTCCATAATTTCCAACACAAAAACATTCAGTTATAAATTAGTCGCTTGGACCTGAATCGTTCCCTCAGTGTGTACTTAGAGGTAAAGCATCATTCCTTCACAACTAGTCAAGGTCACATAAAAAGAGCACAGGACGTGACTCGCAGCCCCAGTTCCCGAAACAACGAGTATATAAGCCATGTTCTTTCCAACACGACATTATATTCAATTTTCATTATCAACAAAAATGAAGGTTTTAGTTGTATATTTCCTTTGTTCGTTTGTTTCTTCGCTGCCAACAGACTCGGAGCCTAATGGCTTCTTGGAAGCTGCCACGAATTTCAGTTCGATGATCATGCTTTCGGAAAGGAGTGAAGTGACTCAGTCTAAGCCGACACTGGACGACTTTATGCGATCCTTAATCGGCCAACTTAAGGATTCTTCAGTGATTCAGGAGTTGAGTCTCTTGGCCGATCGAATGATGTCTGTTCGGAGGAAACCGGACGCTGTCGGCAGTCGGCGTGTTCGTTCTCTTGGCAAGGTCTTGGGCTCGGATAAGAAGCACAAACCCTTCTTCGGAGGCATCACCTTCACGTGGATTTTCGCCAGGATGGAAGTCCCGTTCCGAGATCTCGCCTTCAACTTCTTCGAATCCCCTTGTCCCTCGCAGAAGTGGGGCTAAATATATTCTTAATAAATAGAATATATATAAACCTGTTCTTTGACGATAACCTCATATCGATTCTTATAAAGCACTTTAGATCTACTAGTGTCGTACAAACTTGTCTTCAAACCTTTCGATGAAATTTTAATGGAATGCTTAATTTGCCTCTAAATATACATATATATGAAACATACGTATATATAAATGTATGTGTATACAAATAAGGTAATTCATTTTGAGCTCACTTGCAACAACTAACGAAGTGAAATAACAATTTATCTGCCAATATCTCCTTATATCATACAAATCTGTATATCATTGCAAAGCTTCGTTTCAATATGTTTCACATTTCTTCCCAAGCACTTAATTATGAACGAGGACAGATACACGGAATATCCAGTGTGTGAGTGCAAAAGTCCTGGAATTAGGCATCCACAATCAATCACGCCGCACATACCATAATTGTGATTTCTTTTTACTATTTACATTTTATGAATGAATACCTTTGGCTGCCCCCTATCACTCCTTCTCTAGTAAAGAACAAGCGGTTTAGCGTCCTTTTTTTTTTTTTTTTTTTTCTTATTTTTTTCTTTTGTTTTGTTCGGTTTGGTCTTTGTTTCTCACTCTTTTTTTTTTTGTTTTTTTATTTTTTTTTTCTTTCTTATTTTTTATCTTTCTGTCTTTTTTTTTTTTCTGCTTTTTTATTTTTTCTTTTTTTCTTTCTCGCTTTTCTTTTCGTTTTTTCTTTCTTTATTCCTTTTTTTTTTTGTTGTGTGTGTGTGGTGTGTGTGGGTGTGTTGGTGTGTTGTGTGTGTTTCGTTGTTTTTTTTTTTTTATTTTTTTCTGTTTTTTCTTTTTCTGTCTCTTTTTTTTCTCCCTTCATTTGTTGTGTTGTTGTGGTGTGGTTCGGTTGTTGCTTTGTTTATGGTTTAGTCTTTGGGATCGTTGTAGGTCTGGTGCGTCTGGGGCTTGTTTGTGTTTTCCGCCGGCGGCGTGGTGGTTGCTTTGTGGTTTCTTGTGCTCGGAGTTGCGTTCTCGGTCGGGTTTTGTTTTTTCTCGGGTTTTGTGCTGTTTGGCATTTTGGGATGTTTGTTGCGTGGTCTTGTTGGTTGTATGCTTGATGCTGTTGCTGGCGCTCTTCGTTTGCCATCTGTGTTTTTGCACTCTTTCGTTGTTTTGCTCTGTTGTCGTTGTGGTATACGAGCTCTCGGGCGCGGTGCTTTCTCTGCGTGGTGGCTCGTCGCGCTTGTTTTCTGTCTGTTGTTGGCTTTGCCTCTGGGTTGGCGTCACGTGGGTGCTCTTCTTCCCGGACTCCCGCGCTTCTTCCTTTCCGTCCCGCGGCGGCCGTTTCCCCGTGGGGCGGTTTTGTGTCTGGTGTGGGGCTTGTGTGACTCGCTCTCTTTGTTTTCATTCTGCGTTTTTTCTTGTCTTCGTTCTTCATTTCTGCTTTCTTGCTTCTTTCGCTTTGTTTTTTCTCTTTCATTCTCTGTCTCTTTCTTGTCTCGTCGTGCTTTTGTTTCTTTTTCCTTTCTTCTTCTCTTTTGCTTTTCTCTTCCTCTTGTTTCTCGTTTTGTATCCTCTTGTGTCTCCTTCCTTGCTGTTTCTTCGTTCCTGCTCCGTCTTTCTTTTTGTTCTGTCGCTTCCTCACTCTCTAAACGCTTCTTCCTCTGTTTCTTTTTTTCCTTTCTCTGTCTCTGCTGTCTTCTCCTCTCTGCTTTTCTTCTCTCTCTTCTCTCTCTTTTTCTCTCATTTTGTTCTGTCTCACTGGTTTCCGACTTTCTCGTTTGCCGTCCGCCTTTTTCCACGTCTTCCCTTTCCTGTGCTGTTCTCCTCACTCTTCTCTTCGTGCTGTCTTCTCTTTTCTCTCTCTGCTGGCTTTGTTTTCAGCTCCCTTTCTCTCTGGTCATTCTTGTCTTTTGTCCTGCTCTTCTTCGCCGTTCTTCGTTCCTCCCGTCGCGGTGTCTCCCCGGCTTGGCTTGCTCCTTCCGACTTGCGAATTACGTAATGACCTTATATCTCGACGGACTAGTTTTAGCATTAATTAAGTCTGTAACATCTGATAATCCTGATAAGAAAGGGATCATGCTTGATAACGAATAGTGATGCTAGCGTCCTTATACTAAAATAATGTGAGTCAAGGCAACTACAGTGCTTTATATAGATGGATTCGCCGTTGGGCTGCACAGTCGTCCACAAGAGCTTCACGTGCAGATCTACCTGACGAAAGGCGGACGTTTCAGAGGACAACCTTATCACTGCTTCGTGTAGTTGTTCACGGACTCGTTCCTGAACACAAGAGATGGAAAGAAGCGGAGTGACACTTCAGCGCCGTGAACACCTGTCTGGAAAACTTGAAGAAACTAGCGTTAGGAAAAGAAAATCCAACTGAAGTGAAAATGGGTCGCAAGATCGGAGAAATTTCTGTGGAGGTGATCGACCTGGTGAAGGAGAGAGAAGGAAAGAAAGAAGAGGAAAGGGAAGGCGTGAAAACCTCCTGCCTTGAACAAGTCACTTCAACCTTTAATGATACCACTGACACTCGCAAGCCCTCTGGTGGCAAGAGATGTAAGTATTTTCAAACAGGGAATAGAGTGAATGCATGCAGCCATATGTGTTTCACATTCCTCTCTTTGCATCTTGAATCATCTAAATCCAATATTATTTAGTATATTACAACCAATATGCAAATAATTAATTGCATAACTTAACCAATATGTAGAGAGTGCCATTACCTAAGATTCGAAAAACAATATTGGGTATTTACTCTTTGTTATTGAAAACAATGCCGGTCGTTTTCTTCCCGACAGAATTTCCATCAACACGCGTAAAGGACAAAACCTCGACAGCAGCTTCGTTCAGACTGTGTGACGCGCCTGTCTTGGCCAAGTCCCACTCTGCCACGACGACGCAGCGGTGGAATCCAACCCGACGACGTGGCTTCGGAGAGCGAGTTGGAGGACGGCTTCTCTGCTGTGCCGGCCAACACAGCCACCGTCAGAGGTCTGCCATGGCCATCCCTTGCTTAGTTGATAGGCCTATGGTGGCCATTAATTTGATGACAAAGGCATGCCGATCAAGAGTATGGCCAGCGATAGAGGAGTCGAAACATGAACTTAAATCTATTGAAGCATGTAACCCAAAATAAAGCATAGCTGTTTCAATAAATATAAATACTCGATACAAGTTTATTCATCTCATTACCTTTAGCTATCAATTTTGGAATCAGATTGAAGGATAACAATGGGATGGCATACATATGATAATGATATTAATACCAAGGAAGATAATAACAATAATAAAAGTGATAACAATGTAATGATGATAGCAAGAGTAATAGTAACTTGATAATAATATTTTGCTAATAACAAGAAAACTAGTTATTAAACTCTTAATAAAAATGATATATAATAATGATAAAAAAGTTAATGGCATTATCACCTGTTATTTCCGGCTTATATCTCAGGAGCTTATAAGTTCACTATACCTTTTGTGTCTTGTGACTAGAATCAAAATAAAAGTTACCTTTGTTATGTCTGTCTGTCAGCTTAATGATAGTGATAATGATATTACAAGAGTAATAAGGATAATCACAGTAACAATAATGATAACGATAATAATCATAATGTCAATAATAGTTCGTTGATCACAACAATAAAACAATGATGATCATAAAATAATAACAACAATAATCATAATCATTATTACTATCATTATCATTAAAATAACTGTAAAGATAGTGATGGTGACAACAACAACAATAATGATGACAATAACATTAACAAATAGCAATAACATTACCATTTAGGTCATGTTTCCCTCTGAGAACATTGTTACAATTTTATCTCTTAATTCTATCACATCATGGGCTCCGTTATCTAATGGCGCGTGCAAACTTATCTTCGTTTGTGTCTTTTCCCTTATCTGTCCTTCGATTCGATTGTATCTTTGTCTCTAAATGTCCGCTTTTTGTGTGTGTGTTTTCCTCTCTCTCTCTCTCTCTCTCTCTCTCTCTCTCTCTCTCTCTCTCTCTCTCTCTCTCTCTCTCTCTCTCTCTCTCTCTCTCTCTCTTTGCTCATATTTTGGACACTGACATTCTCAAATACTCGTATCCCAATAAAATCAATAAAAAAATATCACCTATAACTGCTTTACAGCTCACTTCGTATTTTCAGTTTGAAAAATTATATCGACTGCAAGACTAAAAGCGTTTGAAGCAGGGGAGCGCTTGGCAAGAATTCTTGCCAAGCGCTGTACCGTTCCCTGCTTAAAACGCTTTCCAAGGCAGGCAGGCCTTCTTCAGTGATGCCAGACATGTGGAAATGTCTTTTTATAAAGTACAAATCATAACAGTCCTTGATGAGCATAGAAATGTCAAAATAACACACGAAATATACATACTTGGGTTTTAAAAGCAATATTCCCACCAACAATCTCGGAAAGAGATAACTTGCACAAGTCGAGGGTGGAGTTTATTTCACTTGCGGTGGTAACAGTTTGAGCGCGCAATTCAAAACAACTGATAAAATAATGATAAGGATTATGATTATCATAACGACAATGATAATGATTACAATAGTAATGATAATAATAGAGACATTTATATTGATAATAATGATGATGATTACGATAATGATAATAATAATATTGATGATAATGATAATAGTGAAATAACAGTAATGATAATAATAAGGATGAAAATAAACATAATAATGATAATGATAATAATAATAATAATGATAATAAAAAATAATAGCAATAACAGTGATGAATATAGAAATAGTAATAATGCTGATTATCATTATCATTAAGATCATCATCATTATTACCATCATCAGAATGGTAATAATGATAAAAATAATACTAGCAATGATGATAAGGATAATGATAACGATGATAACAATGACATTAGATAAGTAGTAATAATAATGATGATAATAATGAAAGTAGTAGTAAGAATGATAATCATTGTAATGATGATAATGACAATAGCAATAATAACAATAATGAAAATAATAACAATGGAGATGCGTATGATATTGATGATTGTACTAATAAAAATAATAATTATAATGACAATGATACTAATAACGATAATAATGATAGTGATAACAGCAATAATGTTTATGGTAACAATGACAATAATGATAATGATAATGATAATAATAAATGAATAAATGAATATATAAACGATAATCATGCTACCACTAATAATAATGATGATGATAATAATGATAATGATAAAAAATAACAATAATGATAATGATGAAAATAGCATTAATTATGATAATGATAATGATAAAAATAACAGTAATGATAATGATAAAATAAAGTAATGATGATGAAAACAAGAGTGACATACAAGTTGATTCCACAAGCCAGATCCTCCTTCACTGAGCAGCGAAGGCGGTTCAATCCACGTATTATGGGTCGAAGGTGAAGCGGCAGAAACAGGTATGCCAAGCTAGGGTGATAACTGGCCTCCGCTGTGGACGATAATGGCATTAATGCTCTTTTTTAGGTGGGTTTTCCTTTGTGGATAAAGTAGTCATGCGCCACGTTGACCTTCACGTCTTTTTTTATGTCAAATTCTGCACAAGATCGATACAGTAGATATATGTTATTTGCTGTGCTGATGCCTACATCTGCGTTTGAAAATCACCTCAGTGCCAATGCTCATATGTTGTAACATGACTTTTTTTTATCAAAATATTGCATATACGTCAGTGCTAAGGATGTATCTCAGTAATACACAGAGTTCAGGACTTTAATTCTGCGCAATTCAATTAAGCTTTAGCAATCATTATAACCGGTGGGGGACCAGGGGACCACTCATGACGGAAACATTTTCCAATATTCCTGAGAATTTTCATCACAAAGACCTCTCTCATAATAAACAAATACCCCAATCTGACGTCCCACTCAGACGTAGTTCTTTCTGGGAGAGAGAAACAATATCGACCACCCACGCCTGCGAGAGTAAATCAAATGCGGGTGCCCTGTGCCGTAGACTTTCCATCTATTATGGATTCCTACAACGACCCAAAATACTTGTGTATCAATAAAAAACGATTGAGCCGGAGGAGCCAAGGGCCACTGCTACAGACACAGGCACGTACATGAAATATGTGTGTGTGTGTATGAATATAGGTATATACATACATATATATATATATATATATACACATACACACACACAACACACACACACACACACACACACACACACACATATATATATATATATATATATATATATATATATATATATATATATATATATATATATATATATATATATATATATTATCACACACACACACACACACACACACACACACACACACACACACACACACACACACACCATATATATATATATATATATATATATATATATATATATATATATATATATATATATAATATATATATATATATATATATATATATATATATATATATATATATAATATAATATATATATATATATATATATATATATATATATATATATATATATATATATATATATATATGTGTGTGTGTGTGGTGTGTGTGTGTGTGTGTGTGTGTGTGTGTGTGTGTGTGTGTGTGTGTGTGTGTGTGTGTTGTGTGTGTGTACATAAATATATATGTGTGTGCGCGTGTGTGTGTATACATTTATATATACAGTGCACTAGTATACGTATATATGTGTGCGTGTAACAGAAAGCCAAAATAAACAGTTTTCTAAATCCACAACCATCTACTGACAATAAACAAAATCAATTCCATCTCGAAAAGACCACATCCACTCTGATTTCCAGGACATTCAAACCTTAGAGTATGAATTACGTACATACATTTTTTTGTGAATGAACGTCATTACCCCCCCCCCCCCCTCTGCCGGATACAGATCATTTTACACACGAATTGCTCATCCGCCGACCGCAGACTCAGGCCACGTAGAGTTTTCGTGACGTCAGTTAATCGGACATGAATGGTGGATGATTTCATGTTTACGAGAGATATTATCTACGCTGTGATTAATCAAACAAAGCCAAGGTGATCTGAAATGTGTTACAGCATTGGAATCATTGTGTAATTGTTCAGTGTGGTAGCATAGCATAGGAAAGATGAACATATGCAGACTAATCTTAAATGCTTCGTGTCATAGTCATTCAAAGAATTCTTCCTGAACTGCAAGAGAAGGAAAAACAAGCGAATGTCTCTTCAGAAGGTGAACACTTGTTTCAGGAACTTCGATCATTAGGAAAAAGAAGTTCACCGAGGCCAAAATAGGTCACAAGATCAGAATTTTCGTTGAGGCGATCGACTCGGTGCAGGTGAAAGAGAGAGGGAGAGGGTGGTTAACCGACTCTTGTCATGAGCACGTCATCTCAAGAACCAAGAGCACAAACAGCAAGCCTCCTGGTGGGACCGTAAAAAATACGGTCTGATAATTAAAATATGTATCCATATTTATAAGCCGCTGAAGAGACCAGCGTCGCCAGTATCAACACGGACTGCAGTGGACATCTTGCTTGTCTGGTGTCCTGTCTGCAGCAAATAAATAATTCACCTTCTTATAAAAGATAAATGCATCACATTCCCTCCGACGAGATCTAGGATTACACGAGGTCCTTGGTATTTTCAATTACTAATCACTAAAAATCAGTACATAATGTGAAATTCACTTGTACAATTATTAAGTGAATTGTCAAGTTCTATCCAGGCTACTTCAGAGTTATCACTAATATGTTTCGTGATGTGCTTTCGCGGATTAGACTGTGTTGCAAATATCCCCGAATTTCTTGCGTATATACCATATAATAAGTTAACGTAAACATAGATTTAGTAAATTAGTAACCTACGGTAGTCATGAGTCATCGTTAATGAGATAAGCGTCCTTTGTGATAGCACTATCTGATAAGGTAGTGTGTGTGTTTATAAATACATACGTACATATATATAAATGTACACAACAACACACACACACACACACACACACACACACACACACACACACATATATATATATATATATATATATATATATATATATATATATATATAATATATTATATATATATATACTATATATATATATATATATATATATATATATATATATATATAATATATATATATATATATATATATATATATATATATATATATATATATATATATATATAT